GGGACACCCCCTGCGGGCAGGGTGGAGGAGGAAGAGGAGGAGGAGGAAGACGTGGACCAGGTCCCCTACCCTACACGGAACACCTGGCTGCGCGGCTGCCACTTCTCTTTCAGGGGGAGGAGAGGAGAACCTGGGAGAGCCATGGGGGGCTGCGAAGTCCGAGAATTTCTTTGGCAATTAGGTTTCTTCTTGCCTCTGCTGACAGTTTGGCCGGGAGACTGCAGCCACATCTCCAACAACCAAGGTAAGGGACGGGGGCGGAGGAGCGGGAGGGGCCGGAGGAGGTGGGTGCTCTGAGCACCGGTGCACTGGTCGCCTCCTGCAGGTAACTTCGTCCCGGTATAGTTTCCCCAGGCTCGCTCCCAGAGGGGTCCAGGATGTGCTCTCACCAGAGCGCCCTGTCCACATGGCCTGGGACCGCGACCTGCCCGACTTCGGTCCCTACTGCTTCCACTTGTCTTTAAAGGGATGCGTGAGCCTCAGCAGCAGCCGCCGAGGACAGCTCCACAGGAGGCCGGTCTTCCTGGCACGCGCGTAATGGAGACTTCTGGCTCTTGGTGGCCGGCCACCCTGAGCTGGGTGAAGTGTAGGGTCTCACATGCCTTCAGGAAAGCAAATTGCTTTCGCTCTGCCCTAGGACCAGATACTTGCCTTTGCCCCGGTCACTCTGCTGCCCTCGCCTCTCCGCAGCCGGCCCCCTTGTCCCATCCAGACCGAGCGTAGTGGACTTGTTTGAAACCATTCCTAGGTCAGTGTGTTTGTGGTTTCTTTTTTCTTGTGCGCAAAGCGGGTAGAGGGAGAGAAGCGTGAAGTGTGACTATCCAAGTTGTGAATATCCTATTTCTAAAATCCAGTCTCTGGTAGATTTTTTTTGGAGGAAGACTGTTTTAGTAGGTAAAGTGGTAAAATAAAGGTGTGAATAGTGTGTGAAAAGTGAAAGTCAGGTTTACAGAATGAGAGGTAATTAGAATTTTTGATTATTTCTTTTCTTCTGTTCAAACTATTCTTATGAGACGTATCTTGGATCTGCTATGATTTTTAAAGATCTATAAAAATATCACCTGCATAATCTAAATCCTCTTAGACTAAGCAGCGAACAACCGTAAAAGTTTTCCAGCATGTATCTGGCTGGATGCTCTCATTGGCAATGTGATGACCACCAATATGTCACCTGTTATGTCACACTTGTCTAAAGACTTCAGTTATAAAATTTCAATTATAGTTATTATTTAACATATAAGGCCTTGGAATAATCTGCAGATATAAAAATGGAGCTCAGATGACATAGAGTGTGCACATTTTTGTGAGGGTGAGGAGGTTAAGAGAGAAGGCAAGTAAAATAACACAGCTTTCTTTTTGCCGTAAACATATATGACCATTTACTTTTATTTAGGAATATTCAGAATCAACATTCAATTGTTTTCATTTATACTATTTGTATTTTTGGCATGTTTTCCTTAACATTTCTGTTTTTGCAATGTGTGTTTGTTTTTTCACCTGCCAGATTGCAATCGCAAGTGCCCTCGTAAATTTGGAAATCATACACCACCGTCATGTCTTTGAAGATGTATCACCTAAGTGCCCCCTATAGTTCCATATTCTCCTATTCTTCACATATATCCCTCAATTGTTTTTAACGGATATTGGCATTAAATATCAAAGGGGTAGTTAACTGAATCAACCTGTGTGAAAATAGATTGTTAAAAATAACAATTATTTACTTGGTCTTTTTACATTTTAAGGAGAGAAAAATAATTTTTAAATATTATACCCTATGTTAGTATCTAGGGCTACTAAAAGATATATACTTTGAGAGTCAAGTTTATTAGAAGTATTTAAAAGTTATTTCCATGCAGTAGTTTCCCTCAGTCAACATGTGTTTATTCATTAAGTGCCTAAGAGACATCAGTGACCACCCTAAGCCTCAAGGATACAAAATACTAGTAAAACACACTCTGAATCTACAAATGACTAATGTGCCATTCTACCAAAATATGTCAAGTATTAAAGTATAACCTTTCAGATATTCATGTTAAGGGCATAGAAGAGTTACTTGTTAACCTCTTGCAGTAATTTTTTTATATCTATTTTGATGACTTTCATATACGTTTAAAAGACATTTTACCTACAATATTTACCAAGTATGTATAACTTATGGGTGTTTTTTTATCAATTAGCTTAACTTAATGATAATGAATGAATATTACTCAGTTTACCTATCTATTAAATAGGATCATTAAAGATAGTTTAGTGAAACTCTTAATTTGAATTTCTGTTCATGTGCTAAAAACAGGCTATGCATAAGGTTACATTTGGGTAAAATAGTAGCTTAAGGCCAAGTTGGGTAAAATTTAGAGTCTTCAAAAGAAGACTCAGGAGAAAGTGTGCTTAGATTTTTTCATCAGACATAAATGGTTACTTATAAAATGCTTTTTACAACCTAAGTCACAGTGATTAGAAATTATACCTTATAATACCTTTAAATAACTTTCAAATACTGAATTGATCACACTAATAGTTAATAAAATTTCAAACTTCAAAATTTTTATTCTTGCGGACATTTTGGGCATATTTTTTTAATTTGTAGTTTCATAGATAACATGAATCAAAGTACAACTTTCCAATTTTTGAACCTTGAAAACATGGGGTATTGCAGAATCATAATGTGTATAAAATATAGAAAGATTAATGTGAAATATAAATTAGATATGTAATATACCTAGTAAATATCAGTAATATGATAGTTAATTTCAAGAAAATGTGTTCATTTTCCTAGTAACTTTTCATTTTGAGAGCTAATGGAATTCATGTTTTATTTTTAAAATTTGTTACTTTATGAAGGGTAGAATTTTATTTTTATGTTACTTGGCCTTTTACTTAAGGATGTTAACGAAGTAAGTTTTTTTAAAATATTACTTACCTAGTTTTACCAAATTATATAAAATTCTTCATGATTAAAATGAATGGATTCGCCTTCTTCCCCCCCTCCTAGTTTTCCATACTTAGACTGGGTAAAATAATGATAATGACAAAAAAGTGAATTACCTCATTTTTAACATGGCGCTTAACATGGTGCTAAGAGTAACTTGACTATAGGAAGCAATCTTTTCTCTTGTCTTTTAACTGGCTGTGAAGCTGTGCACTATAAAGACGAAATAAATCAATTTGACTCTGTCTTCCTATTACCCAACCTCCTTGAATTGATCAGAAAGTAGAGTTGCTTCCTAGATCACTCATCTGTTTAGTAAGTGAAAACATGATTTGTGTTCATATTTCTCTTACTCTAATAATTTTCCCTGTATTTAAGACCTCAGTATTTATTAGGTGTTGGCAATTTTATTTTAAAATAACACATTTTGTCTTCTCAATATATATAAACTTTTATCTCTGTACTAACGCTTAGATGAATATAAAATACAGTTTTGTTTCATACGTAAGTAACCATGTATATCAATTAAAGTGCTTAGTAGCCACCAGGGGTCCATTTATTCAAAGATTACTCTACTTTAGCAAATAGTACTGTATAGCCTGAAAGAGTTGATGCATCTCTCAGGGTGTGGCTCATCATCAATCAGATACTCAAGTAATTCATTAAATCAAAATATGGTTTGGATATAAGAATCTAGTGAGCTTCTTTTACTACCAAGATTGTGTGAATTTATCATTTTTCCTTCTGGGAATTAAGTGCCAAATGAAACAAGCAAAACAGTAGTCTGATTTGTTAGTTTCATTGAATTTATTACTTTGGATGAATTGAGTGTAAAATTCACTAAGTTGTATATAAATACAGGTGAACATGCCTAAGCAGAAAAATGCCTGCTTAATAAAAATTTGTAGCCTAAAATTAGCTAACTGCCATAAGTATTGTTCACAAATTATAAAACTAAATATTGTTCTTATAGTAATAGAAGGAAGGAGTTGAAATTTTTTTAGAAAGTTCAAAAGTGACCTTTACTGAAAACATTAAAAATTTGTTAAGTAAGGAAAACTACATGATTTACAAAGAATATTTCTAAAAGAATTTCACTTATAAAATTCACTTACAGGAATAAACTTCATAGCTGTAAAGGTACAGGAGATTTTAATCACATGCCTTCATGTGGTTAAAAACAACTTGGAATATAATTTTGTTATACATTTACAAATTGAAATAATTAATTGTGTAATTAGTTGTTATGATTAGTATTTGAAGTAGAAAGAGAAAATGTCATTAATATGCATTGATCATCTAAGTGTTGTTTCCTCTGGGTTGGGGATAAGACTAAATCTAAAATATTTTCTTGCAAAAAAATTATACAATGTCCTTTAAGGATCTCTTCTTCTTCAAGCTAGAAGTAACCTCAGTAGAACATATTTATTTGGATTTTCCTAGGAGGAAAAAAGTATATCTAATGGTACAAAACAAAATTAATGTTTAAATTACATATTTTACTGTTTTTATATTTTCAAACTTCATCTATAAAGAATTTTGTGTTACTTACATGTTAAAAAGTTAAACATTAAGAAAAATATTAGAGTAGAAATGTTTATTTCTTCAATAATCATTACAAGTATAAAGTACAAAAGGAATCATAAATTTCTTGTATTTCCTTCTACCAATCCTCTTTCCCTAACACAGGCATCATATCTCAATCATGCTCTTATTCTTTCTCTTTCTCTCTTCACACACTGAGTACTACTAACGATATACTCCATTTGTCCCAAGAATAGATACTGTTTCACACTGTACATCAACCAAACCCCTATAGTAATAGGCGTTTTTCATTATGTTCTTGTCTCAACATTTTTTTGAGAGTATAAATACAGTGGAGATCAATACATATAGTTAAGTGATCAAAATGGACTGAGTTTATACAGTGTGCTTTGTCAGTTTACAGAGATGTTTATACTAATCTACAGTATTCTTTAATAAAAATTATATTATTTAAAGTGTGCAACATATGATTATGTCAGTATTCTGATCAAATTGCAATTTCATTAAACCAACATTATTTCTTTAAAAAGGGGAATTATATATTACTTCTACATTTGCCTTATTTTATTAAGTATTGTTTTCTAGAATTTAATATCTGGATGATGGAGGAAAAAGGATAAGTAAGGCAAACATTGTCCATGCACTCATGGTATTTATTTCTAGTAAGGAATACTGATAAAAAAAAGTTAGGTAAAATAAAATGAAAAAAGTTCTTAGATATTCTATGGAGGAAACAACAATGGCTTTGAAGTAGTGAATAACAGGAGAAA